TTTTTCCCAAGTATGACCAATTAGTCCTTACAAGAATTACGCCCTTAAGTTTCTATTAACCAGTCAGAATCGATTTTATCCAAAATATTCTTACGTAGAATTTCTGAATGACAAAACAGCTAATCGTGCCGTAATTAATGTTACTTTGAACAATCCATTAATGACCTGCTTCCCCTTTTTTCCGGTCGATTTTGGAAGAGTGTTATGCTAAAATTCTTGAACCATAACAGGTTACTCGGTCAAGTTCGTTATGCGGAACTGAATTCCTTTTGACTTTCAGAGATGAAATGAAAATAGTCATATAACTGTCTCTAGGCCTTTCTACTTTAATTAAATTAACTTTGGTACAAATCATTTAATCAATATTTCTAAGAGTTTTCAAAATTCAACACATCACAATCACTAAACCAGAGAGGTAGCAGCAAAACTGTCAACATAAAGAAAATGTTATAAGGTTACTGCAAAAAGCCAAGTTATTAGCTGGGTAATATATAACTTGACACAAGAAAAAAACATGAAGTTGAATCAAACTCCATTAGAAACAAACTGGAATTAAATACAATGTAAAGGCAATAAGCTGGTGTACGAGATTGTTTAACGTGATGAAAGGCTATGAAAATCGACAAGACTTTTGATAAAGTCATCATGTCATTCAAACTGTTTGCAATTTCCATTTAAATTAGTTATGACAGTAACTCACACCACTGGTCAGTCAGTTATATATTTGTCCTTGATGAAATATTTACCTTGAACGATTTTAGCACATCAATCTAACGTTCGATCACAAAAAGAATTAAATAAAATTAGCAATCATCATCTCATTACGGACTTCATGAAGTCAAAAGAATTCATACCTTTGGATACACAGCTTTCACACACATAGCTACTATTGATTACAAATGCTCTACTTAAACAAATGAAGTAATTACATAGAACATGGAACAACAGTTGTTCAGTCTCAAGAAGACATCTCCTACGGAGATTAAATAGCCATCACCGGTTGTAAAATGACACAAATATTACAAGCGAGCTTCTGGAGGATATGAGAAAGCGACACTCCTCCCTTTCCGAAAAAATACAAACTAACAACAGACAACAAAAACATAAAGTAAAAACAAAAACAAAACAAAAAAGAAACAAAAAACTCCGCCAAACAACTCCCAAAATAAAAACAAACCCAAAATGTAATTTATCAGATTTACAAAGATTGTCTAAAAGCTGCGTTTTATATAGTATTACGATGGAGGAAATAAAAAGATTAGATATTGAAATTAATCGTGAAGTAAACGTGAATGTGGAAAAACAAGAAAAGGAAGATCCATGTATTTTCAAGAGAGAAGTCATACCACTGCTAATGGCGTGGTCTTAAATAACTAATAGAAGAAGAAGAAGAAACAACAAACAAAACTTTCAGAACCTAACCCAAATCCCGTAAATCAATTCCAACCATTCAGCTTGTTAACGTAACGAAATGGATATAGGAATATATTGCACTGAAACTCGATTTTTCACACAAAAAACACTGAACCTTTTACAATATAACCTCTAATATTTGACAGTATTTAATCCGTAAAAATATACAGATCCCAGTATGACAAACAATGTTTTCAGGGTAGTACTGGAGGCACCATTTGGTTAATTGTTGGTGGAGCGTGTAATTTATTACAGCAACGTTACGATAATGAAGATAACAACATGGAGCAATTCCAACATTGCATAAACTATTTAAACAACGAAAACTGACTGTATAATTTTGTTTCTGAGTGAAATTATGAAAATTTGTAGACACAACAACAATTTACAAAAATGTAGTAATTTGTTTAAACTATGGATGACCTGTGCCATCATCATTAAGGTACCTAAAAGTGAGAAAACAAAGTGGGAGAAAATATTGTAGAGTATACTGATCATGAGTTAAGTTCAGACTTATTCATTCTGTGACATTCTTTTGCTATTTAAAATACATCTAAGAGTTTAGAAGCACCAAACAACAACATCGATAAAGATATAAACAAACGATGATTTACTTTGATATTCATTGTTGTGGGAGCATTTATGGTTTAATCTTCGAGTCAATAACTTTCAGCGTGATTTTTATTTGCCTATGCTGACATGTTGTAATAACTCTCAAATTTGCTGGAGTATTTAGTCAACATTTCTGATTGCCACTAACAAATTCATCAGAAACATCTTTCTTAAATTTAGTATAATTCTATTTGACTTTCCATGCATAAAATGTGTAAGTTTAAAAAATCAAGTTATTTCAGATTCCGTCCTATTACTTTGGTTCGCCATTTAAATCAATATTCATCCACGTGACCGGATATAAAAGTGCAGACCGGATAATTTAAAATAGAGACTCTTTGTAGAAACATGTTTTTCAAGTCAATAATATATGGATAGTCACAAATACTCATATTTGCTTTTATCTAACAGTCACACTTTCTATCTTATCACCATTCTATACTCGTTTTTAACCAGGAGTATGTTTATGCAATAGTCGTATGCGAACACATTCATTCAAGCATATACATACATTTACATACTCATGCTCCAGATGAAATGAGACAGACAGACAGACAGACGTATAGACACAAAGGCAGATGGGCAAGAGCCAAAAATATCTTATAATACCTAGTTTGTCCAATATCAACATTTATCCAAACTGTATAATCTAAAAATTCCAACCGTTCAAGGAAATTAGATTAAAATAATCATCAAAGAGACTCGTACGTGCTCCTGTCTGTTCAAGCGTAGATGATATTTGTGCATTTTGAAGAAACAAATATCCTTTCTAAAAATAACTGAAGTTATTTTTCATGAAAAATATAATGGAAATGAATAGAAATGCAACAGTCTAAATTGACAATAAATATACAATCATGGTAATAAAACTTTACATATACTGTAGAAAATTAAAAAAAGGAATAAAACAATAATACTGTTCACTATATATATATATATATATATATATATATATATATATATATATATATATATATATATATATATATATATATATATATATATATATATATACTGCATAGTATGATTGTTTTATTCCTTCTTTTAATTTAATCATGGTAATGAAGCCTTACAGCCTTACATATACGGTAGAGCATGGTCAGGTGTTAACTGGCTGATTTTCTTTGGCGGAAATGAAGATGTGATTTTGTTTGCAGAGAAAATTACACGACATTCACAGTGATCATTCATGGGATTTAAGCTAATAGGCGATACTTTTATTTTTTATTTTTCTTTACTGTATTACTGTTGGCAATTTATGAAATCGTGGTATTTTCCGCGCAATAAACGCGTACGATATGTAATTTATAAATATTATAGTCGGATTAAACTCTGTAGAGAATTACATATACAAAAATATGATTTTTTTCTGGTCTTCTTTAAGAAGTTATATTTTTTTTTCTCATTGTCGTTTAACCTCCATTAACTACAATGATTAACGCTGCAATAAACATATTTTAATTATTCTTCAAGCGAGATAAATTGCAGTAAAAATCATTTTAAGCAGCGATACACTTTCGTACAGTCAAATAATACAAACTAGAGCATGAGGTGGTAATGGAAAGATAATGAAGTTTTGAAATGGGCAGAGAACATTTATTTGAAAGCTGGCTACATACAGCACAAGTTACTGAAACAACAATGGATAGGAAAATTGATCAAATATTGATATAATTTCTTTTTAAGATAGTGATATATCGATCTTGCTTGCGGAATGTGAGAGGACTGTCACATTTGCTTGATCTACATCTGGCATCTTTAATGATTGAACTATCCGGAAGTTAGTTGCACCGAGATGCCATATGGTGTTTTCAAGGGGAAATAAAATCGGTGAAATGGTCTTATAGTTATAAAACATAAAGTAAGGTGGATGGCCCTGTCTGTCTTTGGATTTGATATATAGTTCACGATAAAATATTTAGAAAACTCAATGCTTGTGCAAACTAAGTATCAGTATTGTGCCTAATACGAAATTGCAATCAGTAAGAAAAAGACTAGATGCTTCACCCAAAGCTAGAGAAGTTTTACAAACAGTCAAAAATCGACACGGACACAAACGCTGTTAAATTTGAAATAAATACAAATTTATTAATGTAGCAAAAGTGGTACCATTGACAGAGCTAAGACTGAAATAAACGCCAGTTCATATGCATTCAAAACTGAACTAGAACATAACTGGTAGTTAAGATCATTGTATAGCGAGTTAAAATGTACGAATTTAAAAAAAAAAATGAGCTTGAGGAAAAGAGTTAATTATAATCCTGGCTGAATACTGATCTAAGATTTTCGCATCCATTTGGTACTATTTCAGATACAATTCCAAACACAGACACATTATGATTGTGTTCTTGCTTTCACAAACGGAAAAGAGTTGTTTGATATCTTTAAACCTGAAAATTACAGTTATTGACATTGGCGGACTCAACTATGCAATATTTGTTTCCTGACAAGGTACATATGATGTGTGGAATCGAATATTCAAATCAACAAATCGGTATTGTACATAATTTTGTTCAAGTTGCATACCAAATAGCAAAACGTTAGCATTTTACGCTGATTTTCAGTGTGATTACATATTATATAACAAACAATAATCAGTATTAAATCTTTGCAGCGTTACTGAAAGATGTACATACAGTTGGAATAGAACACTATTTTAATTATTGGGATGGAAAAAACTAACGAGAACGCAAAATAGACATTGGCATAACTATCAAACTTTCCAGATGCAATGTGATGTGAGGTGATGTGATGTGATTATGATTTTTAACGTAGCTTCAACAATTTTTCAGTCATATCGGTACGATGTCTGCAGTATGGCAGTTTATAGTGATGTCTAGCACTGCGGCATCATTTTGCAAACATGTAGCATGATGACCCATTATCCTGACTCCAGGCCGACCAATCCTAACACTAACCCTTAATGCTGAGCGCCAAGCGAGGTACCTGTTAGTACCTCTTTTATAAGTCTTTGATATGTCTCGACCGGGTATCGAACCCACGACCTCCCGCATCCGAGGCGGACGCTCTGACCAGCTGCGTTAATGATTGCCATATGAATTGCTAACTGTTTAACATTGACAGGAATCGTCTATCTTCTATAGGACACAATTAGATTGTAATGGAACGGATGATATAGGAATTAGACGCCAAAGCAATTGTTGGGAAAAACTCCTGAAAATTTAAACCAAAACACCAGAACACTGGAGCATCGCTAAAGCAAGGTTTGATCTTGGATAACATGGATGATGACTTTTTCTGCATGCCTCTACTTACAGTGAAGTAAGCTGATAAATTAGCCCTTCCACCGTGATGGCATTGATTTCGGTTTATTGGCTGATATCACTTATTCATTAAAACGTGCAAAAGTCTGGAAACTTTTTAATGCACACATCGGTATACCCTTTATACACATCGGTATACCCTTTATACACTTGCCATTATTTCTCGTAACTGCACACTATGGTATACACTTTATATTCTTGCTATTTTTCGCGGCGGTGAAGCTACCGTCGGCTGAAGGTTATTTCTTGGTGTCGTGTACATTGTTTTTTCGGAACAAATCCTGTGTTTGGTGGGATATACAACCCTCTGTCCTGTTGCCATTTTGAATTTCGCGTTCGATATGGCTGTTACCAATTACCGGTATGTGTCTAAAATGTACGCACTTTTGTTACGTAATATTTGCAGACAGCAAAACTGGACATTTTAATGAACGGGTGACATCATACCCAAACATCGTCCATCAGTGTCAACACAGATTTGGGGGTTGATTTATCAGACTAACAGTGATTATGTTGTGAAGCACGATTGAAATATTAATACAAGTTTGAAAGAGCAATACAATCTAAATCAAACCGACAGTAGAAAACATCAAATACATTTTTATTTTCATTGCAAGTTTGACAGGTATTAACATTTAAGTTGCTTACAGTTTTCCAACTTCATAAATATCCGAGTCATGGTAAATAAATAGTACTTGAAAAGATGGAGAAGATACCAGAAGGTGTTAAGAATCTCAGTCGAAGAAATTAATGTATTACTCATACAATCAGTAGCATTAGCTAGAACAACCGTTGCCTATGATACATGTACATGGTAGTTTCTTGATATCCTTTGACACCTTTACACTCGCCAAAGCGGAAGAAGTGGTAAAAGGTCCTAATCAGGATAACGAAGTGGAAAACATTGATCTCAAATAGCACTAACGTTCGAGGAGCAAATGTGGACATCATGCACATTTGCGTACTTATTCAGGTCCATTCATATAGCGAAATTAACACAGGTATGTAAATGTACAGCGTATTTAAGGTGTTGCATGTGAAACTTGCAAGAAGTAAGTTTTGGTTGAAATACATATTTGATTGGCATATTTTGGTTTATATGAAGGATGTACAATGAACACTCACAGACACACTTCTACTGCTACCATCACCACTACTACTACTACTACTACTACTACTACTACTACTACTACTACTACTATCTTATGATAAATAGAAAAGTTTTGTAATAACTAAGGGTTCAAAATATGGAACCTGCGACCTCCCGCATCCAAGGCGAACGCTCTAACAACTAGGCCAACGAAGCGGTATTACTTTGTATAAAAGGCATAAATTTATTTTGTCCTGAACATGATTGTGTGCTAGATTTGTTATTTTATGTTAGTTGCTTTGATCTCAGATTTCCTCAGCGTTCTAATATATACGATGCATGACATGTCACCAAGTTACCGAATTACGATTTAACATTTTAGATAAACATCATTGGAAACTTTTAAACAAATCTAGGAATTGTATTCGAAACTATTGTGAGATATTTTTTTATGATTCAGTGTACCTGACATTTTATAAAGATATGGCAGAGATTAACTAAGAAATATATTAGGAATACCATATATAGTTACTTTCGTTTCGATTCATCGTGATATGGTGTACAACCCATAAATGATTACTTCATTTCCGGTCTTACAAATACGATTCAGGCACAGCGACGGAGCGAACGGGGTCGGGATTGAATTGCCTCCGGTGCCAGGCTAAGGGGGCACCGTAGGAAAGTTTTGTTTCTTTGCAGCTTAAATTTGCATTTCATTTTAACTTTAGTGTAAATGGGGGCAAGTCTTCAAAAAATTATATGTAAGAGAGGATTGGGGTGTAAGGTTGGAAAATGACTTAAAACTGAACTTTGAAGCAAATGCGTAACTTAAAAAACAATTCCTCCGGGCACCACGGTAAGAGCACCACCGACCATCGCGCCTGTTTCAACATATTTGTTTGGTCTTTTCTCGAAACACGCTTCTCTATGTATCTGTTAGGCATTCCATCGTCCAAATTTAAAGTAAGTGTATATTATAGCTAAGAAAGAGGAATAATCAATAAAATGAGATGGAAGGGACTAGGGAGTTTCGCATTCTGACATGTAATCATTAACAGACCTGGGAGACAATTCATTTGGCTGCACAAACATTGGAACTAAGCTATGCATAATAAAAACAAATCAAGAACTGGAAGACAGCAAGCCTTTGTCCGGACAATGTACAATAGACATCAAGTATTTGTCCAGACAATATACAATAGACAGCAAGCGTTTGTCCGGACAATTGACTATATACGTCAAGCGTTTGTCCAAACAATGTAGAATATACCGAAAACGTTTGTCCAGACAATGTAGACTGAATTGATGAAATCTATACAAATGCAAAGGTTCGCATAATATGTAATGCTTTCCCACTCGATTTGGATTAAGATTTGCTCCAAAGATGGAAAGGCAGATTTGTAATTGCTATGAAGAAAAACAAGGAAAATACATGATAAATACATAATTTTTTCAGTAATTTGTGCTTCAAAGTGGAAGCACGAGTTAACAAATTTTTAAGTAGGTAGATAAATAAATAGATATATGGAAAGACTAACATATTAAACTTCAAAATAAATAACAACTAACACAATCTTTCTAGATCTGGAAGTATATGCTAGTCTCAAATAAATTAGAAATCTAAATTTACCAAAGTAGAACTGACGGACAAAGAAACTAAAGCAATGACATTAGACCCCCATCTCTCCCAAGAAAACAACGCAATCTCTATATGAATAGTCCTCATTTAAGTGAATACAGTGCCCTATTTATATCCTTATACTAATTTAAATTGTCTGATATACCTAGATTGAAATTGTTTTATATCCGTAGCCTTATCGAGTAGGTATTACGTATTACGTGTCTTATCTTAATCTTTCAGAAATGTCGTATATTTTTCTCAGGCTAATAGAAACGTCAGTCCCTTTTATCTATTTCCGTTCTTGACAATTAGTTGGTTCGGGAGTACACGCTATCGCTGTGACATAAGCTTGCGTAATTTGTGATTACTGACGTAGATAATCACGTCTAAATCTTTAATCTGACCGCGGATGAGTTTTTGTTGCCTGGGGTATGGGAGTAGACGCTACAAGGTCATTTATCTTACACTCTCCACCTCTAAAATACAACAAAAGAATCACTCTGCATCGGTATGCTCTATATTTACCGTATATTACCTCAAAATTATCTGGAGGAAAGAATCTGTTTTATATGTTTAATATTTTTAACATCATTTAATGTTATCCCGTTTTTCCAAAATCACTTCAACAAATAAGCACATACATAACCTTGAAATATTTGTCTATGATATCTTGGCATTTTTAAATATATGGATGTACAGTTGTGCATCTTCTCTTGATGGACTTAACACACTGAACCACCCCCTCATGAATGACCTCATTAACTGCGACTCCTTCATTAGGCTAGGGCATATGTAGACCCCGCCACGTGCCAAAAGGCATAAAGTGTTGCCCTTCTGCGTCCGTTCGTGCTTGCATACGTCAGATAAAGTTTTGCATTTAGCCCAGTTTATAGACTGAATAGCATTGAACCTGACATAGTGTCACGTAAAGAAGGATCGCATGATAGCAGTGTATAATATATAAATGAGACAAAACTATATATATATATATATATATATATATATATATATATATATATATATATATATATATATATATATAGAGAGAGAGAGAGAGAGAGAGAGAGAGAGAGAGAGAGAGAGAGAGAGAGCAATTTAATTGGTGTATGTCTGTGTTTGTGCGTATGTGTTTGAGTGTGTGACTTGGACTGTTAACGTAGCTTTAATAATTCTCCAGTCATATCGATGCGATGTCTGCAATGTGGCAATTTATAGTGATGTCTAGCACTGGGACATCAATCCGCAGACACGTAGCATTATGTCCTACCAAAACACGTTATCCTGACACCAGGCCGACCAGTCCTTTCACTAGCCTCTTAATGCTGAGCGCCAAGCGAGTCGGATACTAGTACCATTTCTGTCGGTCTTATTATGACTCGGCTGGGTTTGGAACCCGCGACATCTCGCATTCCAGGCGGATGGTTTAATCACGTAGACCACCAGAGCGGTCCAGCAATTTAGAAATGTAATCGGGAAGAGAACATGTAGAAAATAAAAACAGACTGATAAAAAAATGGATAAAGAACGAAACTGTTTTGAGTTATATCAACATGCGTTCTGCTGCGAGCCTAATGGGATCTACACTCTCTCTGTAAGCTCTTAACCGCTAGTTTCAGCACGGTATCGCAATTACTACGGTTAGTACCCTATTGATGGATTGTGTCGGGGGTAACTAACTAAAGAGTTGGGCTTTTCAGTTCACATCTGCTCTGGGTGTCATTAGGTTGGAGACAGACCTTTAGAAAAGAAAAGAATTAAAAAGACAGATAATAAAACAAATTATAAAAATACAGACATTAACTTCACTTTCATCTACTTGATATATTTATCTGAATGAGTTTTATTTATATAGTTAGCATTGCTATTGGGTTTATTGTTGCCAGCATCGCTAGTGTGTTTTTTTTTATGTTTCTGTGCTTCTTTAGCAATGTACTGAAAGGTTTCAGCACGGTAGCGCAACTACTAGTAAAATATTTGATGGATTGTGTCTGGGGTAATTATAGTCAGAAAATAATCCCCCCCCCCGTTGGTCTGTACCCCCTACCGATTTCAATAACGTA